AAAAAATTTATAACATATTTTTTAATTATAAAATTTTTCTAAATATAGTCAAATATGAAATACGACTAATTACAATTATCTGAATAATAATTATAAGAAAATTTATATATTAAATATAAAAAATTTTTATTTTTTACTCTATTTAAGAAAATAAATACTAATAATTAAAATATATATTAAATTAAATTTGTAATTTTTTTTTAATATATACTAAGTTTTTGAACTAAATTTTATTTTTTTTATAAATATAGCTAATTTATAGAGTAATACTAATATTTAAAATATTATATTTAAATATATTAATAATTTTTATTTTAATTAATTTATATATTATAATATTATAACAGAAGATATACTAATATCAAAAATAAATTTGAGTTCTAGAAATAAATAACTTAAAATATATAATAATTAATATCTTGATAAATATAATAAAAAATATATATAATCAATACTATTTTCTGATAGTATTTAATAAAGAAATTAAAAGAGTAATCAAAAAATATCAAGCAAATATTAATAGAATAGAATTTTGATTAATAAAAAAATTTATTTATTATATAAGAAGTATTCTGAAAAAATTAATAATTTGATAAGATTAAATTATTATACATAAGAAATTATATTCTTATAGTTTAATTTTTATAAATAATAATAAATATTAGATAAAGCAGTTGTAAATAAAGATAACTTCTCAAACTATTACTATATTATAAAGTATTATTAGATTATAACTAATTGTAATATTAGTAATTTTAAGTTATAATATTATAATAAATAGAATATTATTATATTATAATAATTGTAATATTCTATTACTAGTTGTAAATATAAAATATATTTTTGAATACTACTTCAAGTTTTATTATAAATATAACTTTATAGAATGATACTGAGAATTTATTAAATAGAAAACAAGAAATATATATAGTTATAATTATATTAATTTATTAATTAGATTTTTAATATTCTTAGAAGTATATTTATAATAATAATTCACAAATTTGCATATAAGTTATGATAATATATAGATATATATGATAAAGTATTTGAGATTAGAATTATTAAGTAAGCTGTTAGTTATATTAGAAATTGTTGAAAAAATAATAAAAAATAATATAATAAATATATAAAGAGATATTTCTTAAATATATATTTTGTATAGTATAATAATTGTACATAATAATAATATATAATAATGTATAATAATATATATAATACTAATAATATATTATAATAAATGCTTTATATACTACGTAAATACATATTAATACTATTTTACATTATGTATAAAAATTTGAAACAAATTATCCAGTTTAGATTTCTTATATTATAAAAATATTTTCTTTATAAAAATTAATTATATTATTTTTATTTATAAAAAATCTAAATTCTTGTAGATATAGTAAAATTCTTAAATTTTATCTGTTTTAAATGCTTACAAAGCTAATTTTAAATGATACTTTCAACAGAAAAATTCTTCTATTTTTATCGATACTATTATAAAAGATCTTCTTAAAGATTATAAGATTTATTTGATTAATTGATCCGTAAATTCACCTAATCTAATTAAAAATCTGTAAATAACACTAAAGAAAAAGATTGAAAAGAAAATCAATATTTATTTAATAAAAAAACATTAACTAAAAGTAAATTTCAAGAAAAATCAGACAAGGATGGGGTTATATTAATTTTTATATCTTTCTTAGATTAGCAAGAAGTATAAGTGATCATATTAATAAGCTAATTAATAAGAATAAAAAAATAAATTATTAGCTATATGTAATTAGTCGTATTTCATATTTGACTATATTTAGAAAAATTTTATAATTAAAAAATATGTTATAAATTTTTTTCATATAGAGAAATAAATTCTGAATCTTTATATCACCAACTATATATACATGATACATGTACATTTTTACTAAAATATCTTAAATATAAAATGCTTGAGTGCAATTTTACATAATGTCTTACCTTTAATTCTAAGCCTGATCCCTTAAAGTCAATTATACAATTGAATTTTACAGTAAAAATTTCAGAGTACATTACAGATATACTAGTTTCTTTTATGTTGAAGAAGACGATAAAGTATTACTCTTCTGGTAAAAGGAAAAAAAGAAAACTTCTAATATCATTGTCATAAAATTATTCAGACACAAGACAGGTAATACCTTCTTTCATTCGAACTGATACAATGTGTCCAATTTTTCCAGCATCGTTCACATAGATCTTGTTTCACGGTTGATAATAAATTTTTGGTAAATACCGATAGAACGATAAAGTTTTATATGGTTATATCAAGAATAAACTTCAGTCTAGTAGAGTTTGTATTACACAATAATATTACATGTATTTGTAAAACAAAATGTTTTGTATGATATGAAATTTTAGGTTCTAACGCTAATGCGTAATATAATAATCGTAAACCCATGATTAACCGGTCGTCGATATCATCGATTAATTTTAAGCTGTTTCAATAATTAATAGTTATTAATGAAATCTCTGTCATAAATTGAATTATCCTATTACATATCCAGATATTAAATTCATTATCATGATTTCTTTGTGTTTATTAATTTAATTCAGAATTTACCAAATCTGAAGTATTTAATTATAGAACAATTAGCGTATTAGTATAAGAGTCAGGTTAGAAATAGAAAGATATTAATCGAGTTCTTACCTGTAATGAGCGCACTTAGAGGGTCATATGAACGATAACACACAGCAAACATTGTCATATTCGATTAATAAACTATGATGATTGCATCATCTTCCGTGCCCAAACCATATGATGATTATGATGAACATTATATTCTTCAATTTCATATTCGAAAATATATCGAATTATTGATTCGTACTCATCATCTGTAATTCTAGAGAATCCTGCGAGCCAAGGTTTCATAGCGATATAAGATTCCTTTCCATTCGTTGCCCATATTTTTCCAATCACACCGCCTTGTCTATAATTGAATATTATGAAAAATTAATTTTATGATTCAAAAAAATTAAACTGTTATTCACATAACATACTTTCCGAGCGTTACAGATACGTATGATGGTTGTATGTCTTCGAATCCAGCCATTCTAATTCGTTCACTTAGTTGACATGCCAATCGTAAGTTTAGACCACGTGAAATAAATGCTGCTTCTACTTCAAAACAATATAAAAGGGATTGATAAATTAATTTTTTAGTTGTGGATCCAGAAAATAACTAAACATGATTCTCACAATATTTCTGAATGTATTTGAATTTCGGACCAGCGGTTACGGCTATGATAAAATTATGATTTAATGTTTAGACAAGCACATATTAATTCGTTAAAAAAAAGAAAGCTTTTATATGTTGCTTACTAAGCCCGTCACACTCATGATGTTCAAGTATTCCACCTGGTTTTAAAACACGCTTAATCTCATGATATAAATTCCGCCAATCTGCATCCTTAATTGCAGCGAACAAATACCGTATCCAAATAAAATCAAAATAGTTATCTTCCCAAGGTAAACCTTCCGTAACATCACCAACTATGAAATGTGAATTCAACGGTTTAATTGAACTTGGGAAGTTCGAACTAATGTCGATCCCGTACACTTGTGCAAATGGAAATTCTTGTGCAATTTCCAGTGTCCATTGACCTGGACCACAACCCAAGTCCTTCAACAAATGCAATAAAATTTAATCAATTCAAATCATTTGGGATTGTTGATGCGATTATTTTTGAGTTACCAGTATCTTACTTCCAGGTCTTATTATGTCATGAATTGGTGCCGTGTAGTTTCCTCTACAAATGTGTTTGAGCGTGAAATGTTGTTGATGCAGACGATCAACCTCTTCAATATCCGTGGGAAACTAATGTGATAAATCGTTACGCTTAAAGAATTCTTTACTTAAAACAAAAGTTTATATAACTTACTACATATGGCGCAACATTAATATCATAAAATTTTCGACCACCAATATATTTAAATTCTTGTATTTGTTCAATACTGACAGAACGGTTATCTATTGTTCTTCCCTTGTGTTTGTGCAGTGACAAGTTAATCCCCATTATTTGATAACAATCTCAATCTCAATCTTAAATAAAATAAAAAGTTGCGCGTTTTATTTAATAAAGAGAATTTTAAGTTTCGATTTTATGTGATTTTTTATACGAGCAGTATGGAAAAAGAATGTCAAAATCAAATAAACTTCAAAAGAAACAAGTAATGAAGATACGTCTTTAGTTTTTAATCATACATGTATAAACCTTAACCGTAAAAAGTACTATCGGGGAAATTTCCTAATTACACAGTATCATGCATACACATGTGTTTCTAAGAAAATTACGATTGGTTAACACGTTGTACATGTGCATGTAATTGGAGATTTTGAACAACAATCATTAATATAATTAAAATAACGATAAATAGCACATACAAAGAAAGATGCTTATTTTAAATCTGATCACATTACCGGGAAAAATTAAATTTATAGTTTATTAACTATATCGATATAGAATGTATGCAAGCATTTGATACGATTTAGCCATTGATCCACATACATCATTCGATATAATATACATGTATTTATTGAGAAAGTATGGAAAGCTGTGTAAATGAAATGTGAATATTTATAATTAATTAATAAAGTACGGCGTATGCCTTAAAACCGATAGCATTTGTGATGTTGCGCCGTTTCCTCGATTTCATTTTAATAATTTGTAGGTGAATTTTGCTCGCGAAGTAAACCTGAATTTAAATAAAATATAATTACATATCTGATGTTACGCATTCTTTTAATGATTTGACTTCACTTAGTGACTTTACATTAACAAAGTTCAAATTGCAACTTAGATCATGACTTGAAACCCGAACCAGTTTAATCATATGAATGAATTTTTATTGGTTCATTATTAATCTTATCATGATTTTTATCCAATTACATGTAGTAAAATATGCGTAACACAATCTTTTTATTAAAAAAATGATGTAAATTTAATTTTGCCTTCATTGGGATATGCAAAGTAACACTCTCAGAACTTAAATACATGTATTTGATATATTTAAATTAATCTAGATTGTCATTTGGTAAAAATTCGACTGGTGTAGATTGAGTGAATTTCTTGCTTTTTGTTTGTATTCGCAGGGATGCTTTTTGTGACTTCATCTCTTCATTAATTTTCTGCTTTCTTCTTTAACATGCTATTCAATTCCTCCACTTTTTTTGAATCGTAGTACTGCTCATGTAAATTATTCAGTTTCCAATCTTTACTGAAATGGATAAAGTTGATAAATAGAGTCTAAAGTTCCTCTGCAGTTGGGAATAGGATCCCAACATTTTTCAACAATAAATTTTGAAAATCCTGGTACTCCTTTATTTATCTCTAATACGAGGATGTATATCTTGTTACAATTTCGTAGACTAGCCATTCCATAACTATAATTATCTGCTCCTTTAGTATGACTTTTGGACTCATATAAGGAAGTGCTTCGTAAATTTCTTAACTGGATGAATGTTTTTTATTTTCCTTTTTTTGTTTTTGTTTTCTTTTGCATTGCATGACGACAAATACCGACATAAAAATTTGATCGCTGATTATTGTCCACGCATTGGTTGCCGCCTAAGATTGGCTGATTTGTAAAAATTAACCATAGATTTTATACCGGTAACGGTCGACATCCACGAAATCCCGAACGTTAATAAGCACGAAAGATCGAATTCCCGAATGAACGACATCCCGAATCAAGAATTCCCGAGTGAACGACATCCCGGAAGATTGAAATCCCAAATGAATGACATCCCGAATGAACGACACACCGAAAGTATAGTACATGTATCCCCATGAAATACTAAGATTATCACGGAATATCGTTCATTCAGGATTTCGTACATTCGGAATGTCGTTCATTCGGGAATTCGATTTTTCGGGATGTCGTTCACTCGGGAATTCGATTTTTCGGGATGTCGTTCATGATTCGGGAGGTCGTTCATTCGGAATTTCGATCTTTCGGACTTTCGATCTCTTAGGATTTCGTAACAGACCCGTTTTCTACATATATAATATTAATAATCTTGACCAATCATGCTCATTGATTCATTTTCTAATATTAGTTCATAAAATTTTTTGCACCTCGCGCAAAATCAAACCAAAACTTAATGCTGCTCTACATTAACTGAAGTCGCAATTTTATTAGTTATTTCGCGTGACACCATACCCAAAAATTGGGGCGTTAATTATAGTAGTTGTTAATTTTTACTGTTCACCACTGCACTTCAGACTGGCAATTAGGAGTCGGACATGATTGCTGTCAGCAACTTTATGTATTAATAAAATTAAAACCAATATTAATGGGTTTTTGACGACCGCAGTTATTTGATTATAACGTATATCGATGAAATATTTTGACGAAACCTCCGTTCTTGATTCAGTTGCTTTTGTCGATTCCAGAAGAACTCTACTGTAATCTTTAAGGAAGATTAGTTTAAAGAGTTGAGAACACCCGTCATTTTCAATTATTTGTTTTGCCGGTTTGTTCAAAAATTTATACATTCTTATTGGTTGTTAGAAAAAATCCGCGAATTCTTATTGGCTAATAAATGATAACCAATAGGACAACCTGGTGAATCATAATATAATTACTTTTTTCTACTTTGTTACACACAATCATTACTTTGGTGAGACAACGTTTATGACTTTAGTATTTTCTTAGTTCTTTTGACTGGTTTCACACACAACGTTTGACGAGATGCTAATATTTAAGAGAGCAAAAAACTTCATGAGATTTTTAATTTTTTGCTCTTTGTCAGTTTTTATTAATTATTCAACCAAAATCAAAATTGCTTTGGGATAATTAATATGATAATTTATATAACATCCTTCACGAAGGGAAGAAAGAAATTTAAGGAATGAGGATCACGGATACAACGGCTCAACAAATAACAGTGAGAAACTCACCCTATCCATTCACACTGAGTTACGCTGACATTAGGTGTAAAAGCTCCCCTTGTCCATGGTTTCTGCCATTGAACGTTCTTCCCAGTTTCAGATGTTACTACGTATGTCGAGTCCTGGGAAATTTATGGTGAATAGAAAATACGAAATATTGAATCGAAAGCTCTTCGTGGTCACAGTAACAAGCGACTGTGAATATTCTTTTTGATTCTTTGACGATGATGTAACAAACACTAATCTTATTATTTTAGAGATCCAGGTGACAGAGAAGAAATTATATAGACCCAATTCGTGATTACTGGATATGAAGTTTGATCGGTGATGTATTTATGTACGATTATATATAATGCTGATAAAATGCATAATATAAACTAATTATATGACTGGACCGCAACTTGGGTAGCGTGGCATATTGATGGTAGAATATCCTCGGGGTATACCTCCTCCAAAACTGCCTCATTGCACACATTTATCCTACGAAGCTTTCACAATGCCTCCTAACAGCACACTACTTATATACCCTAAAACCGCACATATACAAAAATGCCATCTGTAAAATGTGTCAACACGCCAATGAGACCACAGACCACTTTTGGACCTGTCCAGCTTAACAGCTATCACGTCAAATGTCATTTGGTCTTACCAATGTACCAGCCACATTCCAGCGATTAATGAATACCATATTACACCCATATATTAGAAATTTGTGGTAGTTTATATTAATGATATTACCATCCATTCATTCTCATTTGAAGAACATCGCCAACATATTCATCTAGTCTTTACAAAAATAAAAGCATAATGTCCGATATTAATGCACACTGGCAGGAAAAATAGCTTCAACATTGAAGAAGCAACAAATCAACACCACAAGCTCCAATAATTCTCTGAATCTGCAAAGTTTTCAATAATTTTTCCAAGACTTAATCCACTATCAAGTAATCAAAATTGCACAACTAAGTGAGCTTCCAAAAAATGAGGCTATAAAATTGCTATTAAAAGCTATCCTTCTCACATGGCTTAATCTCTGGTTATCCTGATGCAATTACCAAACCATATGGGAAAAAAAACAATATTACAACATACTTAAAAAAAATCTGAGCAATCAACACAACAACAAACATTACTTCTCACTCAAGAGAGTATATCAAACTGATACCATCATCTCCATATAAATCAAATAGACACATATTATTCATGTGACATACCCAATCAAGAACATGTATTCATTTCTTGCAACCACATAGTCATAACAAAAGATAAAGCAGACTTGCACACCATTAACAAACACATAGATTTTACTAAGGATAGCAAAGTGATTTCTATTCATATGTAGCCACAGCAATACCATAAGTGATTAGCCAAATCTCACTGTAATATAATTATAGATAGATTACTGAAATTTATGAACATGTAATCTAATTTCACATGACTGATAAATATTTGGTTGGCTATACTTTAACAAAAAAAATAAATGAACTAATTATATCAAATGATCATAGACCACTCTGTCATCCAAGAATCCGAAGGGTCACTAACCTGGACACCAAGTAATATAATAGCTGTTGTGGTGACCCATCAAAAAAATGTTTTCACCTGGAATCTCTTTCAACAGGACAGAAAACATACTCTCGAGGATTCAGAAAAGATGGCGTTTAAAAAGATCAAGAAGGGTTACACTAATAGTTATAATTTCAGTTCCAAATAATAATATCAATATCAAAAACAAAAAGGCAAGCTCGTTGAAATTATTCAATGATTCATAGAGATGAATTTCGCAATATTATGAAAGTGGGGTGATAAATACAGCTAGGATATCAATATACGATATTATCCTCACGAATACATGCGCATGTGAAAAAATAGACATATTTATAAAAAATAATTTGGCCATAGGCTTTGGTAAGATAATTCATTTGTTTACTCTTCTGTTCTTTTCTTGCCTATGCTTATAAGATCTTGGGCTAAAGTCTTAAAATGATATAGGTACAGTGATGTTCATTTATCGTTATTTAACTAATCCATTATTCTATCTTTTATTTTGGTAAGAAAGCAACGATTTTATTTACATTTTCATTTTAAATTTATTTGATATTAATTTATTAACTAATCCATTATTCTATCCATTATTTTAGAGAGTAAGAAATCAACGAATTTATTTTACATTTTCATTTTAAATTTAATTAATTTAACTAATCCATTATTCTATCCTTTATTTAGTTTGTAAGAAATCAACGATTTTATTTTACATTTTCATTTTAAATTTATTTGATATTAATTTATTAACTAATCCATTATTCTATCCTTTATTTAGATGGTAAGAAATCAACGATTTTATTTTACATTTTTATTTTAAATTTATTTGATATTAATTTATTTAACTAATCCATTATTCTATTCTTTATTTAGTTTGTAAGAAATCAATGATTTTATTTTATATTTTCATTTTAAATTTTTTGATATTAATTTATTTACTAATCCATTATTCTATCCTTTATTTAGAGAGTAAGAAATCAACGATTTTATTTTACATTTTCATTCTAAATTTAATTTATTTAACTAACCCATTATACTATCCATTATATAGGTAGTAAGAAATCAACGATTTTATTTATTTGAAATTAATTATTTAACTAATTCATTATTTTATCCTTTATTTAGATAGTAAGAAATCAATGATTCAATTTTACATTTTCATTTTAAATTTATTCAACTAATTCATTATCCTATTCTTCATTCAGATGGTAAGAAACCAATGATTTTATTTTACATTTTCATCTTAAATTTATTTGATACTAATTATTTAACTAATCCATTATTCTATCCTTTATTTAGCTGGTAAGAAATCAACGATTTTATTTTACATTCATTTTATCTGATATTAATTTAGTTAATTAATTATATTCTTCATTTAGATGGTAAGAAATCAACGATTATATTTTACATTTTCATTTAAATTTATTTGATATTAATTTATTTAACTAATCTCATTATTCTATCCTTTATTTAGGGAGTAAAAGATCAAAGATCTTATTTTCACTACATTTTAAATTTAGTAAGACATCAACGATTTTATTTTTTTAATTTATTCAATATTTAACTAATCCATTATCTATTCTTTATTTAGATTGTAAGAATCAACGATTTTATTTTAATTTTCATTTAATTTTATTTTGAGATTAATTAATTTAACTAATCTATTATTCTACCATCCTTTATTAGCTGGTAAGAAATCAATGATTTATTTTTGCATTTTGGGTAAGAAATTGACCACTTTTTAAATTCATTATAATAATTTTATACTTTATTATTAGATATCAATCTACTATATTTAATGTAATTTCTTACGATTTATCTAACATAGATAATGGGTAAGAAATGTAGGCCCTGCTTTCTTTTTATTGTTTAATTTATCCTTCTATTTTTCATTTATATATAGTTTTCGACACTATAAAGTCTATGTAATAACACACAATACTCCAAATAGAGAATATTTTTTAGTTCACCCTGCTGTCGGACGAGGTGATTTGCGACGTTCTCTAAGAAAGCAATTCACCAGAATAACATGGAATGTTCGCATACAAGTACTATATGATATTTATACTCATCTTCAGTTTATTCATTCACAAGGTATTATACACGGTGACCTGCATCCTGGAAATATTCTTCGATTAAGGAAAGATGTTATCATAATCTGTGATTTTGGTGCTACAATCAGACATAATTTCACTAGGAAAAAGGCCAAATGTTTGTTGTGATGCCATTCGTTGCACCAGAGATTTTCCGAGGAGAGACTTTCAGCATGGCATCAGATGTTTATGCATTGGGTATTGTCATGTGGGAGTGGTGCGTCGGTAAACCGCCGTCCGGTAAACGTCCTTTCGATGTTAATTTAGCTTTTGATATATGTGATGGATTGCGACCAGAATTACCTGAAGGATTACCTGGCTTTTACTGCGACTTGATTGTATGTTGTTGGCATCATAATCTCTCACAAAGACCAACTTCTAAAAGAGATATGCAATATCGTTAAAAATGGCATCGAGGCAAAACTACAAAAATGGAAAAACAACAATAGACGCTGCCGAGAAGTTTAGATTGCAAACGCATCCAATTATGATTCCGAAGAAAGTTACACACGAGCAAAGTTTTGCGAAAGTGGATTTAGGAAGGTTGGTATTTTCAATATTGTTTTATATAATCTATTCCTGTAAAGCTAATAAAAAAAATTTCAATCGACACAGGTATGTTTTATTTTAAATATTACCTTTCAATTAATCAAGAATTTGCATCGAATAGTATTTCTACAAGTGTTAGCTTGTATGATCCAAATGAAGGTGATGCATTATATATACCAATTTTTTTTTTATTAAAATACTAGTTTATATAAATTATTTGTAGGAATATTATATAGATATCGATACCAAATCAGCAAACGTCAACTTATATATATCTAACGATGCAAATGAAGGTAAAATTATTAAACACATGTATACTACGAGTATATTCAGTAATATTGATATCAAATATTTATTTAATTCATTAATTTCTTTGTTAATTAAAAAAGCAGATTTCGACATTAGTATAACACACGAGATTGAAGATACTGGGAAAATCGACAAATTGATGACGAAACATCGAAGCAAACTAAAAAGAGACGATTTGACTTTAGAGCAATATTCGGATTCATCAAAAGAAATTGGTAGCTATTTTTTGCTTTAATGTTAATAAAAATTAGTTGAATGTTGATTAACGCGCTTTTTTTGATGATCACCTCCGCTTAGAACAAACAGGTCGTGTTAACGTTCGTTGAGCATTTTCAGAAAAATAACATGTAAGCTAAATACATATAAATTACATTTATATATATAAAACTCATGATAAGAACAGTAAATTAATAAATAGAGGGTGGAAAAATAGCTATGTCATACCCAAATAACAAACATTTCATTGTTGACGCCCTCAAAAACAAACTATACAACATGATAAAATGTAATGCGCCCTAACTTAAAATGCAAGCACTAGATGAATCAATGGTTACAAATTAATTATTAATTAGTGATGGGCAAATATGCGTATACATGTACAGTCGCCACAGAAAGTAACGCCCGATTTTTTTAAAAAATAAAATTTCGGCATTATTTTATTTCTGTCTTATGAATATAAAAATATTTTTATCGCTAGCTAATACATTATTAGCTCTTCATATGGCTCTAATATCGCTTTGATTTCTCAAGACATTGAGCCTACAACCTCCTAAAAAGCCAACACATCGAATTTCCTTCAGAGTAGTCTTGAGCTTTTTCGCGATCCTTGGGAAGCTTATACACTTTAGAATATTGTTCCCCGATGGCTTAGGGACATTTCTATGAAGTTTGGGTCATGAGAACACAATATTCATTGATTTCTCTATTTGATTCTATTCATGGCTTCTTTCCCTAATGTAGATCAAGTTTTATTTTTTTGAAACATCATGTTCTCTCAAATCAATGAACAAACTATATTATGAAAAGGGACCAAATTACCTTAGATAATCTTCAGATAAGCTTTTGCATGAATTTTTTATTCCCAATGTTGTAAAATGGCTCAGAATGTCTTTTTTTGCTTCTTGTATTGGTGCATTTTTTTTCTTGATTTTTAAAAGCCTATGGTCTCCCAGACAGTGATAAATTTTTGTTTTTCCTGTCTCTTTTGTACTTGGCAAGAGACTATTACACTATCATCAGGTTACAACACATTATTCTTGATTTGAGAAAACATGATGTTCAAAAAAAAATAAAACTTGATCTATTAGGGAAAAAAATGAAATAAATTCAAATAGAGTAAATCAGCGCCAAGTTGCAATGGAAAATTATATTATGAAAAGGGATCAAATTATCTTAAGAATCTTCAGGTAAGTTTTTGCGCAGATTTTTTATTACCAATGTCATGAAATGGCTCAGGATGTCTTTTAGTTTCTTGCATATATGCATGTTTTTCTTGATCATTATGAGCTTATGGTATCTCAGACAGTGGTAAATTTTTGTTTTTCCAGTTTCTTTTGTACTTGGCAAGAGACCATTATACTCTTACTGGGTTCCATCACATTTTTCTTGCAACTTTCTTGGCACTCATAACTTCATAAAAATTACTATTTTTATCCTTGTCAAAGGTGGCCTACTGATATGACAGGTATCATATTTACACCTAAAAAAATTTCACCCAGTGTATGTTTAAAAGTAAAAGAAGAAAAAAATTAGTGACAACAATAACAAAAAATGGGAAAACGCGCGATGTATATATTTACCTATTTTGTTACATATGCAAATCGGGCGTTACTTTATGTGACGACTGTACATGTATCAACATTAATATACCTTGGACTTGTACATCTAGTAATAACATCAACGCTGCTTCTCCAAAAGTAAGAAATATCTTATTAAATTCTTACCTTGCGTGCCCAAGGTATTGATTATCGTTATAGATTCTACCAAAAATTCTTAGTTTGTATGTTCTCCCTTATTGCGTGATCCATAATCTTTGTAACGTACAATAATTTTTCTTATTTCATTTCTTTTACATATAAATTTTACATTAAATTCCATTACATTATTTTATAATATACATTACCTTTTTTTTTGTGAAAATTCCTACTAAAATTCTTATTTGTGCTCTAATGACCCGCTAAACGTGTAATTAACGAATTGTAATTTAGATAGTTATGTAATAACGAAAACTGTATATATAGAATAATCCTAGAAGGTCTGAGAGACAGACAATGTATGGTTTGAAGAAAAATAACTAATGAAATTATTTTTAACTCTTACCTAACTACGTTTCGGTTTTTATTTCTTTGTTCTCTAACAAACTTGAAGTTTTTAATTCTTTTTCCATCATTTGGTTATTCGTTTAAAATTTGCTTTTAGTATTTTAAAACAAACTTATCTTTTTTATTTATTTAATTGAATATTAAATACATAAGATTGAATTGATTAACAAAATCGACTAGCAAATTATTAGCAAAGAGTGTTAAAAAAAATCGAGCAAGGTCATTTCTAACGACCACTTTCGAACAATTTTTGCATCAAACAATTAATGAAGTGTAGTCAAAATGAAATTACGGTTTAATATTTTTAATTAATTAATATTTTAAAATATTACTTAGTGAGAATTTCTTCTTTGTTTTGCTATAAATTCTAGTTAAAAAAATGAGCATTTGTCACGAATCGGCTTTTATAACTGAAAAATATAAACCATAACATTGTAAAAGGCTTTTATCAAATTATATTCGAGTTTTACCGTATACTTTTAAGACAGTTTTAATAGTGGGTCTTTTTAAACTTTGCTTTTGTTATATTCTAAAATTTGTTTCAAATTGACTTTTGTTCGAAGTTGCTTTTGTTAATAAAAAAAGTTAAAAGTGTAACAAGAATAACTTCAAAAAATAATTTTCACGTTTCATAATTTCAAAGCTGAATCTTTTTAAAAAATGCCTCTTTTCAAAATCAAAGTTGCTATTAAAAAATGTACTTGAATCACTTGTTAAAAAGTGCAAGCTGAATTTGCATGAAAACTTGTAACGAAATAACAAATCATTTAAAAACCATTAATCAACATACCATGCAGATTTCTCAAATTGGTCAGATGTCTTTTACTGCTGCAACAGCTAGTATGAAAATGGTTTTTAATTTTTTAACAAAATATAATACATAATCTTGATTTCTGCAGCAATCATTATTCATTAGAACCGCAAGGTATCAGAGTTATATGTAGTAAACATATTTCAGCCAACTAATTAACCAGTTCACTTTACATTCGGAATCATGACAGATGAATCAGGTTGGGATAAAAAAAATATTAGTAAATTGTTTTATGTTTTGGAATTCAGCAAAGAATATGTCAGATTTTGTGCTTTTAGAAACGAAAGATCTTTGACTCTGCTACAGTTAGTCAGGCGCTTATTGAAACTTGTATAAAATATAACTTTGATACTGCGCGATGTCTTACCTTTCTTTCTGATAACGCAAATTACATAAGTGGTCATGTCGGAGGTGCGGTTGTCAAATTTAATCAATTGGCTCAAAGCAATTGTATCCGAATTCCTTGTGAATTGCATGTGTTACATTTAATTTTAACGTCTTTGGTAAACTTTCAGCAAGTACTGGGTTTTCAAAGATATGACATCCATTTAATCTTCTTTATTTGTATGGATGCTACACAATGAATATGATCAAAATAATAAAGATTCGTCACTGAGTATGAGAAGTGAAATGATCCAGAGCCTTTATAAAGCACATCTTAATTATCAGTTGACTAAATACATTATCAGCATCTCTAAAATCAAGATGGCAATATGAATTAATTGTAGTGAAAGAATACTCGAAATTCATGAAATTCATATAGAATTTGTTGCATGTTCCTTCCAAAACTGAAAATCCTAAAAAAGTCCCGAGTTCCTATATTCAAAATAGGAACTATTTCTGAATTGATAAAACGATTCTGAGTTGAATATTGAAATTCAATGCCTCGCTAAATTTGGCCAAGAATTTTACCATCCATTACAGAATTTCTGATCCTCAATCAAGGGTTATACAGTTTGATACATGTAATTCACTACAATGTTTGCCATCGGATCGTTGAGCACATCAAATGCCGGATTTTATTGTTAATACAACATGTAAGCTCGCAAGTATCTTTATTTGTTTTTTGGTGACGAGCTTCTACGGAGTATAGAAATTATGAACAATTCAAAAGTTGAATCGTTAATACAAAAGATAGAACAAGAAATTCAAAAAGATCTTTGAAGTGTGCGATCAAAAGTATGCGGACATTTTGTTTTGCCAAAATTATGCTGATCATTCCACATCATTTAATATTAACGCTTTATAACATAATGAAAACTGCCACCGAGTTTTTTTTAGTAAACATTCACCAAATATGAAGCCACTCACGTTCAAACGTCGTTATGACCGCTCGTAAAGATGCCAAAATTGTGGTGCTTCAATGGCCGGCACAAAGCCCCGACTTTGAACCCTATCGAAAACATGTGGGCAGAAATGAAAGCAATGGCGCGTCGTCGTGATTCACCACCATCTAATATTCAAGTACATGAGAAGTGTGATGAAGGTGCGTGGGATGATATTTATCCAGAATATTATAAAAAATTAATTGACAGCAGTTATTGCTGCAAATGGATATAGTATTAATTATTAATATATAATTTTTTTACATAAAATTAATGAGGACAATCTGATTAATATGTTTACTTAATAAATTTTATTTTTACTATAGTATTATATATGAAATTTTTATTTTAAAAAATGTCCGCATACTTTTGATCGCCCTCTGTGCATGAAAAATGGTTGAATTGTTGACTTTATCTTCCCTTAAGTATGTGTCATCTTGGTGGAAATAATGCACAACAATTTGCCTGTAGCTATTGGCATATTGTGCTTGGAATGCCTTGGCCAAAATTTCCAGTGTTTAGTGATAGTATATGAATATTGTAAAAAAAATTACTGTAGTATACCTTTATTTACTTCATTTGTACATATGAGTTGAAGTTTGTTGATATGGCATTGATATCTATAGCAAATTCTGTGCTTACATATTCTACAAGTATTTATATAAATTTTAATATTTTAAATAAAAATAACATAGTGATTTTACCTTTATTTGGAACATACAAACTAACACTTGCAGAACCTAATATTCTATACAAATTCTTAATTAAATTGAAAGGTTAATATCACTTATACTTAGAAACAGATACGTGAGTCATTATTGAATTTTAATTAATATTTATTAGTCTGATTGAAATAAAGTATACAAAGATTATTGAAAAATACCAATCTTCCTGATCCACTTTCGGCAAAACTTTACTCAAGTAAACTGCCAAGGGATGTGTCGTGTAACTTTCTTCGGAATCATAACTAGATGCGTTTGCAATCCTAAACTTCTCTGCAGCGTCTATTTGTTGTTTTTCCGTTTCTGTAATTTCGCCCCGATATTATTTTTCAACGATGTCGCACATCTCTTTGGAAGTTGGTCTTTATGAGGGATTATGATGCTAACAACGCACAATAAAGCCTCGATAAAAGCCAGGTAATTCTCGTCGTAATCCATCATAGATATCAAAAGCTAAATTAACATCGAAAGGACGTTTACCGAATGGCGGTTTCATCACTCCCACATGACCATTCCCAATGCATATATATCTGATGTCATGCTGAAAGCCTCTCCTCAGAAAATCTCTGGCGCAACAAATGGCATCACGCCAAATATTTGGCCTTTTTCCTTAGTAGAATTTTGTCTGATTGCAGCACCAAAATCACAAATTGTAGTAAGCTCTTTTCTTAATCGAAGAATATTTCCAGGATGTAGGTCACCATGTATAATACCTTGTGAATGAATAACTGAAGATGGGTACAAATATCATATAGTACTTGTATGCGATCATTCCATGTTATTCTGGTGAATTGCTTTCGTAGACAATGACGCAGATCACCACGGCGACAGCGGGGAAACTAAAAAGTATTCTCCATTTGAAAGATTGTGTGTTATTATATAGGCTTTATAATATGGAAATTTATATGTAAGTGAAAGTAAAAGGATAAATTAAACAAATAAAAAAGAAAGGAGGGCTTATCATTTCTTACCTATTACCTTTATGGTAAGAAATTACATTAAATATGCGTGTAGTAGATTAATATCTAATAAAAAAAATATATAATAAATTCAAAAGTTAATTAAAAATGAATAAAATTAAAATGTAAATGTAAAATAAAGGGTAAAATAATGGATTAGGTAAATAAAATGTAAAACGCAAGTAAAATCGTTAATTTGAATCAAAAAGTTAAGATCATTATAGATATTAAATTAAATAATAATTTTTTTACCGTCTTTTTGCACATTTATAGCCTCCATTGAGTTATTATTATAGAATTAAAACTAAAGGTCAATAAATAACTACAAAAATAGGTTTCGTATACTTATCTAGACATCATCTTTGATAATTAATTACCTCATGCAATATTTCTTTTATTGTCATGGCTGACTTTAATGCAACCCATTTCTTATTCCAACCACCTTTGTACACTTCACCAAATTCTCCTTGGCAATTTTCTCAATATTAGTAAACTCTTTGAAAGTTATTCTCTCAATTTTAGGTGTCGATTGAATAAACTCTTCGATTTCATTATCTGATTCTACATATATATGTATTACTTTATTAGTGTTTGCCATATAATGTACATGTACAGTGGCCTATCAAAAGTCACCGGACATCATGTGATCCCCAGTCGTTTTGCAAATAACACTGTTTGTT